AATTAGTTTATTTCAATTAGGAAATTAATGAGAGTTCAGAGTATCATTTGAATCTTTAGTATGAAAATTTCTTTTCTTATATACAAAGAATAGATATTGATATGTCAAAACTCTTGAATCACGAAATGTAATAAAAAAAGTAAAGAGCAAAATGATAAATTCGTTAATGTAATGTACTTTATTTCCTAAGAGAATTGTGAATCATAACTATCAAATTGTAAGCATTTATGTTATATTGTTTCTATTTTTCATAATATTTGCATATTGAAATTACCTTAATGTAAAATAAGAATATTCATGTTGTAATTGTCAGATTTGTAATTTTTCCAAGGAAATATGATAAAAGTATATTAATTATCTCAGGTAAGATTATCAATACCATATGATAGATAGAAACTTTCCAAGTTTAAGTGATGCATTTACATATTTAAATTGAAATTAAAATGCTATTGCATTAAAGTTTTGTTGTTTCCTTTCAAGATTTGTAAATATGTTTTTAATTTTAAGTGGTATATTATAGATATCTTATGTTTATATTAGATAGGATTAGTATATTTAAGTAGGGCTGGTATATGATAGGTAATAAATTTCAAAATCTACGTAATATAATTATGGTTGCATCCATTCAAATGTTAAAAGATTTTGTTATGACTAAATAATTCAAAACTCTAAAAGAATAGAATGAGAAGTTGAAGGGTCAATGGAGGCTTAGGCTAAAAAGTTCCAACTAGCATTTTGTATGTATGCATGTATATGAATATGTATATGTGTATATATATATATATGTGTGTGTGTGTGTGTGTGTGTCTGTATATATGTGTGTGTGTGTATATATATAGATATAGAGCACAAATTAACATGCTAGGCTTATATTAAATTTGAGTCTAATAAGGACCAAACTCTGTTACGATTTAAATCGAACCTAATATTTAGATTCAAACTCAACTCAACCCAATTAAAGATTAGACTCATTGGATTTTTTATTTGTCAAAACTCAAGTTGATCCAACCCCATCAACAATCCTATGAGAAAATCATGCTGAGAATGAGCGAGCACAGCAACTGGCATATTTGTGGAAATGGCTTCAACCGGCTAGTCAAATAATAGCACGTAATTTTAGCCAATGTTTTAAAAACCAGACCGTTAATTGAACCGGTAAAGTGAAAGGGTCGAGGTTCAACCGGTCGGACCTGTTCAATCCTGGTTCAATGAATTTTAAAAAAATAATTTATATAAATATATATATACACAAAATAAGACATGTAATGGACTAATTTAATATTTTATATGATGAAAAGTTTACTATTTTTTAATAACTTGGATTTTTTAAAATAATTTTTTAAAATTATAAGTTAAAACAAATAAATTTCATCTCAATTTTAATTATATCTAAATCCAACCCAGAAATATCACAATATTTTGAAATTATACAAAATTCACGTCTATGAGAATTTAGACATTGTGAACTTAAATTTTAATTTACGTTTTGGGATTTAGAGATTGCAATTTAAAAAAGGAAGTTTGGAATTCGAAGGAAGTCAAGAGAATCAAAAATAGAAATGTAAACTTGATAAGAAACAAAAAATAAGATAAAAGTGAGTGGTTGTGGCATTAAATAATTTGGGTTAAAGAAAAATAATTCTTTTTTAATTTTTTTCAATTTAATGGACAAAAACAAAATTAAAAGATGGAAGAAAACATCAATAAATTAAAAATAAAGAGGTTTGATTAAAAAAGGAGTGATAAAAGAAAAGAGGATAGAGAGAGAGAGAGAGAGAGAGAGAGAAAGAGAGTTGAAGATTAAAAAGAAAGAGCCATGAGAAAATGAGATTTTATAAGAAAAATGAATATTTTTTTTATATAAATAAGTTATATAAAAAACTAATAAGATGTGATGGTGTAACGGTTAATACATTAGTCTTCTATTACAAAGGTCTTGAGTTCGAATCTTGATAGTTGTATTTTGCAAAACTTTAAAAAAAAAAGGGGAAAGTTGAAAACCGGAAAACCGCTGGTTCAATCCGGTTCGATGATTTTCATAGTTCAACTGGGTTTTGACCGATTTTCTGCCAAAGTCAACAATGACATAGAATCGGACCGATGCTATGGCCGGTTCGCGGTTCAACCGATCGAACCGGTCGGTCGGATCCGATTTTCAAAACATTGATTTTAGCACGTAACATATATGATTCAAAGGCAAGGAGAACTTGTAGTATAGACATATAACGTTTTGTTATAAACAACATTTTTGCTATAAAACACATGTATCCCACAAAAATTGTTTTTCCATCTACCAGGCCTAATTTTGGCCTTGGGCGTGAAAGGTTGTTTGGGTTCATAGTTGAAAATTTTGCGCATTTACCATTTCATTTAGAGAAAATTGCACCAATCATTGCTTACATATTGTGTAAGTGAAATTGTAGTCATCCAAAATAAAAACGATTAGTTTTAATCTCTAGCATATAAAATTGCTCTTGTCTTGTCCTTTGATATCTTTTCCGGTCAATTTTGGTCGGAACGAGTCATTGACCCATCATGTGCTCTATATTTAAAGGGTAAGCAAGTCACTTATTGGATTGACCCAAACGCAGAGGACCAGTGGTTGATTCCTTGGACAAAGACTAGCCACATCATTAAGTTGGACTTAAATACCAAACAGTGTATAAAATTCTGATTTCCTAATTTTAGTTATTTTTTTTCCCTTTTTTCATGATATACTCAAGAAAGGGTGAAATCACATCGGATCCTCCAAGCAAAACCAAGATATTTTCTCCCGTTCCATAGAGAGTTGAGAAGAGATATATGGAGGCTGAAGCACAGGATGATTTCAAATCCCACAAACAAAAACAAAAAATATAAGGGAAGGCTGAGGTTTTTGATTTGCAAGGAATTGGAGGACCACCCAATTGAGGGCTTAACGCCTTTACCTCACATTCTCCATTGAATTCTCCTATTGGATTCTCGAGTACCAATCAGCTAAATACAATTTTTCTTTACCTTGTGATTTTGCTGCATCCACCCCAAATTCCTTTTCTCGTGACCTAATTTTTAAATTGAAATCTTCTTGTAAAATCTTGTGGCCAATTCCACTCCTACATCTCCTCTCATGCCGCTGTCGCCACTGCCACCACGACCACCCACAAAGCAATTGAAAATTCCTTGGAAGGAAGAAGAGAACTCAGCCAAGCTCCACCACCATTGAAATAGATTTATTTGTCCGCCTCTATAATTTCAAGTTGGTTAATTTGATTTTATTGTTTGAATTTGAAGTTTTTACAAATTTTTTTATTTAGGTGCGGAAATTTTTTTTATAACTTTTGTTAGCAGAAAGAGAGAAAGCTAAGGGATTTAGATTTTTTTAAAGGACATTTAGGTATTAAAATCTAAACTGGCTATTTTATACTCCCTCCGTCCCACTTTGATAGTCCTGTTTTCCGTTTTCGTCTGTCCCAAATTGTAGTCCACTTTTCAATTGAAACATGTAGTTGTATTTTAATTTTCCTAAAATACCTTTATTCAATGTAAGTTGTTGTTATTATAAACCTACCCTATTTAATGAGAGTTGATTCTTTTTTTACCATCAATTCAAGTTCCCATAAAGTTGTACTCTAATTAATGTGAGGGTATTTTAGAAGAATGGCTACCTAAATTGATTGTTCCAACAAAATTAACTGCTTTTTATTTCCTTTTTCGTCTGTCCCAAATTGTAGTCCACTTTTCAATTGAAACATGTAGTTGTATTTTAATTTTCCTAAAATACCTTTATTCAATGCAAGTTGTTGTTATTATAAACCTACCCTATTTAATGAGAGTTGATTCTTTTTTTACCATCAATTCAAATTCCCATAAAGTTGTACTCTAATTAATGTGAGGGTATTTTAGAAGAATGACTACTTAAATTGATTGTTCCAACAAAATTAACTGCTTTTTATTAAACTGTGTGAAAAAAGAATCAGAACTATCAAAGTGGGACGAAACGAGTATTTATTAGTTCGACATTTATTATTTGACTTGGTTGGGCATTACGTTAATATGTAAATGAGTAGCCACAGGTATATAATCCAAATTTTCAAGTGCTTTGATTGAATAAATTGATCCTTTATATTTGCATCAATGCAATAAGTGACTTTTCAATTTACCCCTTTAAAGTGAGGGGTCCATGGCTCATTTAGTCAAAATTGACCTAAAAAGGCATCGGAGGACAAAACAGAAGCACATTTAATATGCTAGGGACTATAATTCTACAGACTCGATATGTGAGGATGAATGGTGCGAGTTTCCATTTCATTTATGAGTTGCAACTTATGCCCATGTTTTATTCCAGGCTATGCAAGTTATTGGTTTCAAGAGAAGACAAATAAAACCAACGAGTAGTGAAGAAATTGAAAGCTAAACAAAACAAAAAGAAATTCGGATTTTCTTACGAGGTATCTCAAATAAAACAAATACTTATAAATAGTTTATTCTTAACTAACTTTCTGTTCTCCGTATGTTGTCAATTTAAGTACGCAAAATTTTATAAAGCATAGGAAAGTCCGTTAAAATAAGTAACTTTGCTTTCTTTTCACTAAGAAACTAATACTAGAGGAGGATTATTGGGAACATATTGACTTTTTCTCCTGACAAACATAATCCGGCAGATCAAATATCAACTTAATGACATTATCTAGGATGGGGGAAAAAGAATAAAGAATGAAGCAAAAACTAGTAGTTATCCATTGCCCTAAAATTACCTTCAAGCTTCAACGATTTCTTTAAAGATAGAAGACATACAAATTTTGAGTTAATATTAGAATCCAAGATCAACAAGTTTACTTTCGAGCTGTACTTGTTCTTTTGTCATATGGGACTTATGATATTAAGGCTTTATTGAATTTATCACAATAAACTTTGAATAACAGCTTTAAAATATTTGGACCAGAGTGTGAGAAACTTTTGTAGTTTTGGTTATATTTTACTATAAAAGAATCAAGAAAAAATTGGTGAATACAATATTTTCCAATTGTGGAGAGCAACATTTATTCATCATTCAAAAACATATTGACAATAATAATTGGAGATATAATTGAAATGGAAAACAATAATCTAGGCAAATTTCCCGAAGCCAATCTGTTTGTTTACGAAGATTTGACACCATCTGGGTCAGCACCAAAGCCAATTCCATGCCTTTGTGTGGGAAATGCAACAAATAAAATACTGCAGACCACCCCATTTGCAACAGGCAACACCGAAATGATCTCTTTGATTTCAACTGAAGGCGTGGGATAAAAGCAGTCAACAATATTTTTGTCAAGAAGTGCAATAGACGCAAAAACCAACAGTGACAAAAACCCATGCAAGAAATCCAATGGACCTATCTTTTTCTTTGCAGCTTCTTCAGGGGAAATGGTCACAGTTCTATCAATAGGATAGAAGCCCTTGAATGTCGCAAAACCGAAGAAAACGTTACCCTTTCCATCCTTGAAACTGTCTGTAAAGCTAAGAATGAAGCACGAAAGCGCACACAGAGCCAAGAGAACAGCTGTCATGGTTTTGAAAGCTACGTCGCAATCGCCTTGATTGGAAAGTATTGGAGATAAGAGCCGAAAAGCAAGGACTGTTCCTGCAGGAAGACGGCTAGCGAGGTAGGCTGTGCCCTTGAATGTTGAACAGATTGCTTGCCGGATTGAAGTGTTTTGATTGGTTTGGGGAGTGGTGGTTGAATCTGGTTTTTGGGAGGCTAAAAGGGGAGTTTTTGCATCGCCACCGCTGGTTGGTGGAGATGCTGGAGTTTCTACTTTGACATCCATGGGAGGCGATTTTGGAGGTTTTTTCAGACTTCCTTCAAGTGCTCAAATGGTTAGTTTGTCAGAGAGTTGGGGATGCATTTTATAGGGAATGAATTCTGTGAGTTTCGAAGAAATCTGTGATTTTCAAAGTCGAACGAGCAAGAAGTTGGTCTTGTAAAGGTTCTCATTTTCCTTGGCTCGAGAAATTTAATTTTGTCCAATTCAAATAGCTCGGAAACGAAAAGAAGCTCATCACCGGCTTAATAATTTAATTTTTTTTAATATATTTCCTTCAGCACAAAGAATAGCCACTTTATTGAAGTGACATTTTGAAATTTTAAAGTTACATATTGTTTATGCACGACAATAACCCAGAGTGATTTTTATATGGTTGGAAGAAATTGTCAGCTCCACTTATATTAGGTAAATGATATTTATGCAACATTGAAATTTTCAAATTGAGTACGCCAAAATAACTTGTTTTTGAAGCTGAGTTTTTTTTTTTTTTTTATGAATCTTCAGAAAATTGTTGGAATTATGAAAGTTAATCAGACAAGTTAATTTAAATTGATCACTTCAATTTTTAATCCTAAAAATTTGACACATAATATAGCTTTTTTTTTTAAAAAAAAATTAATCCTAAGGTGATTGATCACTTCAAGTTTTAATTTAGATTTTAAGGAGTTGATCCAATGTGCTTTTTTGGGCTTTTAATTTCTTGGAAGTTAGTATCGTGTGCTTCTCTGCTTCTCTCTAGAACTAATCTAATCAAAATCCCCTCCAAATTTTTTCATGGGAAAGAGACCAGAAAAATATGGTATTTCCCCTGGGAGAGGAATCCTCTCTCTAGCTTTTAGGTTTCTTTGTTTAAATAAGTTCTTTTCTAGGATTTTCAAGTGCGAAATTCTTCTCCCTTAGAATCTCATAATGAGAGTTCCTTCTTTTTTAGATTATTCTAGTGAGAGTTTTATTTTCTCCTAAGTTATTTCTTTTTAGTTATTGAATCTTTATAAGAAATTTGAGATTTTATAAATCTATAATTTCTTCATTTATTATTTTTAGATTTAAATTTTTCTTTGAACTTGAACCAATTTTTAGTTACATCTAATTGTTAAAAGACATATATAGACCTATTGGGTTAAAAATGATTCATTTAGATGAAAGATGATATACTCAACCTTCGATGTTATCTATTTATTTGAATTGATTTTTCAGCTCAATTGTAATTATTGATTTTCAGATATATATGTATTTATGTCATGTTTCATTTGATGTATTTGCTCGCTGCAGATTTTAAGGACGAAGTTATCATTTCTACGAAGCAAACAAAGAAAAAAAAAAAAGAAAATTCAGGAAGTTGATCACAGTGGAACTCTTAATATTCAACTCTCTTAGTTCTGGTTGTTAATTCAAATCAAACCAGGGTATTGACCAAGACCAACAGGTACATTTGATTGGAGTAAAATTGCACATGGTTGAAGGGATTTGGAATAACTAAGAATACGACAGTGATGAGGACCGTTTAATCCATGATACATATACATCAGTTCATAACTCTGCCGTAGATGATTCATACAGCCTATTATATGTGGCAATTGGAGTCTTGACTTATCAAGTTCCAACAAGCACGCAAGTGGACCGGGCCCCCTTTCCGTTATGAAGTTTTCTCGATACACCCTTGAGTTTATGCCACTTGTCTTTGTAACTGTCAGTGGTTCCATGTCAGTTTTATCTTAACTACCAGAGAATTTCAGGTTTGTCAACAAGCCTGAGCTGTCCAACTATGATTCTGACGTAGTTTTAAAAGGTAACTTTTAATTTTAAAAGATATTTTAAAATATATTTTAAAAATTCTGTCAACATAAAAAATATATCTACAATTTAAAAATATATATATATATTATTATAATAAAATATTTTCAAAAATAACTAATTCAAACGGAGTTAAAATCTTTCAAATTGATAGTGAATTGGGCTAAAGTATGCAGGGAAGTTCAAAGAAGTTGGAAAAGTTAATCAATTCTCATGTCTTACTTTTCCAATCTGTCTTTTGTTTACATCCGTGAGAAGTACGAAACGCGAATGACAACACGGTGAACCTAAAAAGTTCAGAGTTGTGAAACGTGTAATAAATTATGATACGATCGCATTATCGCTACTATCTGTTTCCTCTTTTTTTTTCCCTTCAAAAATGATGCCGGTATTAATAGTCGCCTCAATTGAAAATTCATGAACTCATTTTCCTGGAACTCCAACGTATCCAAAAGTGTCTGGAAGTCCCTGTAAGAGGCTTCCAGAAGTTGATAAAACAGGTTGTTTGCGGTCAAAGTTTGTGATAGCATGCAGGAAACTTCTTTCTTCAATTAGTAAAAGAGAAAATGAAAACAATAATATGTAAATAAATAAAAATGAGAAAAAAAAAGATCGCTATATTTAAAAAATGGCACTAACATAGTGGATCAGTGAACAAATTTAAAAGAGGTTATGTAGCCTTTCGCTTCATGAAATAAGATCGGATTTAGAAAGAAAGGATGATCACATGGTAAAAAGTGAGGCTGCATTTAGAAAGGAAAACAGGAAAGCTTTTGGGTTATATGAGAAAAAAAAAAACTGAAAAGACAATTGAAAATCATTTAGGGTCTGTTTGGTTGGAAGTAAAATGTTTTCCTTGGGAAAATATTTTCCGTGGAAATAATTTTCCATGAAAATCATTTCCCTTTCATCATTTTCAGGTGTTTGGTTAGTTTATTGAAAATATTTTCTTACTTCATTTTTCTGGTGTTTGTTTAACTTTTGAAATATTTTCACTTTTATCTCTATCTTTACTTTCTACACATTATAACTACATACTTCTTCCCATGTAAAATAAGAAAACTTATCTCATTGTTTAACTTTAAAAAAATCTTGGAGAAATGTATATATGAATAAAAAATATCTCCTTAAGCAATAAACAAATTGCTGGCCACTTGGTGTCAAATATCAATCACATGCAATGCTTATTGTGACATATATCTTGCACTCTCACTGCTGAAAGTTTCTCTAGAAAAGAATGTTCTTATTATACATAATTAATTACTAGCATAGAATGAGCAGGATGAAGTTTTTTTTTTTTAATTTTGAATATACTAGGGGGAGGGTTGGGTTGGGTTGGGTGGTACGGGGGAGAGAGTGTAAGGAAAAGGTCTTGGGTTCGAATCCTCCTGTTTACACTAAAAAAAAAAAAGAACATACTACAAGATGTTTTCAGTAAATTTGGAACATATTACAGGCGGGATGCATGCATTTCAGAAAACAACTTCAGTAAGTTTGGAAGGGAAGTTGTTTTCCATAAGATGAGTGAAAATATTTTACATAGGAAAATGTTTTCAGTAACTTTTGTGCAACCAAACACGGGAAATTAGGAAAATATTTTCCTGGAAAACATTTTCACCTGAAACAAACGGACCCTTACTTCAAGTATTGATTGAAGAAAACACGGTGAACAACTTGTGCAAGCAATTGCTAAAAACACACACACACACAACTGACTACAACCTACTTGCGTGGCTCACCAATATGAAACCATAAAATGGCAGCCATCAATGACAAACTAGGAATTGCCAAAAGAAAAACTTCCAGAAACCAAAGAAAATCTGACTCATAAAGCAACATCATCATCCTTTAACTGATGCCACTTTGCACAATTCCATGAGATTTTTTTTCCAACAAAATCAACCAAAGATCAACAACCATAAAGTTAGAGAAATTCTCAACGAAACACCAATGTTTTGATCATGATATATTCAGGTGCAACTTTTAATTATTCGATTGAAACCACCTTAGCATCCTCAAAATTTATAACGATTTGAGAATCAGAAATGCCACTATACAATGGTTTTTGATAACCACCAGTATTCTTCATTATTGTTACCACCGTGTACGGTGTAATCACATCTAGCTCAGCAAAGGAGAAGTTACTCCAAAGTTCATTTGGGTTCTCACCAAGCTGCTATCTGGAGATCTTCCTGCCTCATTTCCAGATAATTAAACTATGAGATTCCCAAAAAATGAAGCCCTTCTTTCTTTATTTATTTTTTTCCCAAAGAGGAAAAGCGCCACTCACTAAATTGTGTGGTTAATAGAATATGTAAATCGGTGGGATTCCTTCAATTTAGCAATAGTCTGCAGTACAAGATTATTCGTGCTATGCCAATGTAAATTAAAGCCAAAAGGGTGATCAATTAAAACATTAATTTGAATTAAAAAAAGGAAAAACCAAAAAAGGAAATAAAGCGTGGACTCTGCTGTTGATATCCTTCCAGTATGAGATTATCAAAGCTATGTCGTTGTGCATTACAAAATTTTCCCTTCCACAGCTTAGAATCACTTGTCAGATTCTTTCTTCTACACTCTAGCTCTATCAGCTTATTAGCAAATAATAATCTTACAAACTTACAACAACATGATTAAAATTTAAATCAAAATAGGTCTTTCATTGTAATAAGAACACATTCAGCCTTTCTCGTGTCAACCTTGGCAGAGCTTCTCCGAAATCACAAATAATTAAATAAATAAGCCAATGACTAGTTTCAGAGTAAATAAAAATTTTAAGGAAATTGGAAATATTTTGTTTCTTTATAACCAAAAAGAAGAAAAAACTTACAGTATCGGACCTGGACTTGGAATGAAAAGGAAGGGGAAAAAAACTTTTGATAGCAAAATAGGCAAAACATTCATGGAGAGGAGTAGCAAACTTCAGCAATCAAATAGCAAAAATTCCTAAAAATGAGGGAAACGAATGTACAATAGCAATAAGGTTGTTCTTTAGATGTTTCTCCTGCTCTCCATAAAATGATTCTTAAATTTTCTACATAAAATTGAGCAAAAATACCATATTATTACAGTAAAATAAATAAACATCTACCTAGATACTCGTCTAACATAAAAGGATAGAAAGAGAGAGCTCACCAAACCCAAAAAAAAAATAACAGAATCAAGCCATAGCAAAAAGCAAGAGTACGTATAATGAAAAATGAAACACCAAAAAATTAGATAAAAAACATATCTTTCCTATACCTTACAAA